TATATATATATATACATATATGTACTCCTTTAATATTCATTTCCATAGTTATTTCTATATATTTCGTATTTTCAGGTGCCCTGTCGATCCCGTTATTTTCCCAAGATTTCTGCAAGTAGGAGGTGCTCTTGAAAGCTCCTACGAAGCTTTCCGATTTACGGAATCCTATGGAGTTATCTTTCAATGTAACGTCAAATACTGTGTTGGAAAATGTGAACCGGTAATTGAATTTACAAATTATACATATACTACGTAATCATATTTTTGTCTTATCAGTAAGCATGTAAAATAAATGAATACATTATTCATTTATTTTACGCTATCTAAGAAAATCAAGTTGCCGCAATCAAATAATCAACACATTAGTTGACAGATCATCAGTCATCAAGCTCATAATATATTACAAAGCCCGAAACTGTTTAAAATATTATGACAATCAAGGAAATTAGCATAATGTCATTTATTTAATTTTTGAAATCTAAAGAATCGTGGGAGTACAATCAAACAAAAAACAAATTAGTTGATAGAACAAATAGCAAAGAAACAAATCTTTAAATTTTTACGATACGAAAACTGTTAATTCAAACATTACATGGGTAAATTGCGAAAAAGTCTTGGTTCCGCACTTTAACGGATTATTTTACTAAGTCTGTAGATTAGCAATATTATGTGCATATTAACGCATACACTATTTTTACATACAACAATCATACAAATTCATCTTTCCTAATTCAATTGCAGGCAATGTGCGGTGATTATTTGAGTTTATCTCGAGAGGAGTCGTGGGGACGTAAGAAGAGATCTGCATCTTCAGATTCTGGACCCATGGAGGATGAAATGACACTCAGCAAAGAGATTTTAGTTTTGGATTTTGGTGATGAAGCTGCAGCTACATCGCTACATACACCAAACTCCGCCAATGGTAAGAGCTCACACATTAGGTTTTTGAGATACGTATGAAATTAGTTCAGAGTTAAAAACTAAGAGATGTGCTTTTTCTCATGCTTTTTTTGACACCCTTATATATTTAAAAGAAGCTGCGTAAGCATTAGAGAAAGGTTTTAGTATACAGCGAAATTTTTTTAGTTGATAACTAAACGATACGCTCTCGTTAATACTTTCAGTTACAATTATTTAATTAATAAAAGCAGATGCGTAAGCCTTAGAGAAAAGCTTTAGCATGCAGCGCAATTTTTTTAAATTTAAAACTAAAAGGTACGCCTTTTTACTACTTTTTAGTCATCCTTATTTACTTGATAAAAAGTGTAATTTTTTTAGTTGAAAACTAAAAGATACGCTTACGTTAATACTTCATTACAATTATTTATTTAATAAAAGCAGATGCGTAAGCATTAGAGAAAAGTTTTAACATGCTGTGCTATTTTTTTTATGGTTACTAACTTTACGCTCTGTTTAACTCTTTTCTGCCACCCTTATTTATTTAATAAAAAAAATTTGTAACATTAAAGAAAAACTTTCAGCATGCTGCACACTTTATTAAAAGTTAAATACTAAAAGATCTGCTTTTTCTCATACTTTTTTGTCACATTTATTTATTTAATAAAAACAGATGCGTAAGCATTAGAGAAAATTTTTAGCTGCACAATTTTATTATTTGAAAAAAGACACGCTCTCTTTAATATTTTTGCCACTCTTATTTTTTTAATAAGCAAAAGATGCGTAAGCATTAGAGGCAAGTTTTGATAGTGTGGATTTAGTAGAGTGATTTTTTTTTTAATTTCGTATTCAAATGTTGATTTTCATGAGGCAATTAGAAATAAATTAGTTTTTGCTGTAATTGTAGTGAATCAAAACATGTTTAATCATATCACAAAGCACTTTTTCAAAGATGTTGCTGAATTCATCAGATTGACGCTGAAATATCAAAAAGTTGCCAAAACTTGATTTTAAATAGTTGCAGAAAGAGTCACAGTTGAGGAACTGGGAAGTTACTAATGTCGTGTTTCTTCTTAAATATTATTATAATTCACAGAATCGAAATTCTCAGGGATAAGTTAAGAGACATTTTAAACAATTTGAAATCAACCGTAAGCAGGATAACTCAGCCAGATTTTTAAAGCATGATTTTTGGCGGCACTGTGACAAATATCTGAATTAAACTGTTAAACATAGTATAATGGAGAGGAAATGATAGAAACGAGACTTGTCTACTAATGCAGGAGACATAACCACCTCTTTTGTTTTGCTTTATAAATTATCAGGATGCTAAAAATCATACTTAAAAGATTTGAAAAGTGGTTTAGAAACACCAGGAAACCATTTGCGAAATTGTTTTATTCATACTCCTCAAAAATCACCAACATTAAAAGACTCAAGTCAGTTTTTCTATAACATTTTGTAAATAGCTATTAAATGCCGTGAAATAAACCAGAAAATTACTTCAAAAATTTTTTTTTGTAATCCCAAAAATTTGTAAAATTTTCATTGGCATTGAAATTGTCAAAAAACTATAAAATATTCTTAGAATTGTATTTAAAGTATTTGCTGAAAACAAATTATTTAGTAAACAATTGAGCAAACTTCACTCTACTTTCCTGAACATAGCGAATAACAATTTTTGGATAGGGCTTAGAGATCGAAAGAAAAAGAAAACTGGAATTATCATTTGAACGCCTAAAAAGTGATGCCATAAATAAAAGTATAATTTATGTCGAAAATATAATTCTTGTGAGCCTATGATGCATGAGAACAGTCCCTGAAAAGTTAATGCTTGCACTAATGATTTACAGTTTCAAATAAATCGGTTGAACCTTATATATACTGTTGAACCTTATATATTTGGTTGAACCTTATATATTAAAATTGAACCTTATATATTTTACAACATTCCACAATGTGATGCAACTTTTCCGCAATATTAACTAATTGTTCAATTGAATCATGTTTCCATCAAGTTGAAATCGTGTAAACAAGTTTAAGAAGGGCAAAAATATAATTAAACTGGAATTAGGACTGAAGCAAATGAAAATGATATCTAATATAGACGATATATCGTACCTGCAAACGACGTCACAAGTGGGTGTCGAATCTGATTGACGATGAATCGTGATATTTGTTTATGCTGCGATTCACCAGCCAATAAGGTTCGGCACCCACTTCGTGACGTTGTTTGCAGATATCCAATTGAATCTGATCAAAAAATTAATTCAGCCTGATAATAAAGCAAACCTAATAGCTCTAACGTGAACATGTGACCTTTTTTTATACAAAGGCAACTGATTTCAGCTTTCGTCTTCTTCTCTATTTGTAAGTACTCCATTATGGTTCAATTCGCTCAAATATTTTTAATAGTTCATAAATATAAGTATAAAAGATTTAAAATATTTAGGATATACGTATAAAAGATTTAGAATAGATAAATCTTTTATACTTATATCTGACCCTGACATGTTTTTAAATCTAAGTGAATGTTACTTCTTCAACGAAGCTCTTTATTTATTCAACTATCACTCTAAGAAATAAGTCTCTCACTTTTGACGATTTAACAATCCTTGAGCTGTATTTCATTAATTTTGAGAATTTCGCCACGAAATCACGCGATTTGTGACGAAACGTGAAGTCTCAAATGTATAGCGAAAATGTTTCCTCGGTTCAGGGCCTCATTGCAGTGTATTATGGGAGATTGTTAACTAGAATGAAGACTAAACGAATGAAAGTAAAGTTACGAAATCAACCGACCCTTTGTATGGTGGTCAAGGACTTGGCCTCATACCAGGAAGACCCCGGAGTCGAATCTCGCATCGGGCATGGGTTTAATTTCTCTCTTTGTGCGATCTGTCCTTATTATGTTGTAAAGGCCTAATTTGTTGTTGTTGTTGTCGTGTCTATGCATACAGTGCTAGTGCAAAGATTAGAGTCCTCAAAAAGTCTTGATAACAAGATTTGCAAGTTCTGGAGTCTAGTACGTAGCCTAGCTATTGTAGAGGAAAGGTTTCTTGGGAAGTTTAGATCGGGAACCTTGCTAAAAAGCTGGTTGTATATCCTTCGCCTGGCAACAGCATTCGCATCTGCACAGGTGACAGCTCGAGGTTGATCTTCGTCGCGTGCGTCCTTTGCAAGGGCATCTGCGCATTTGTTCCCCTCGATTCCAACATGAGCTGGAATCCACTGAAGAGTGCAACGAATATTAAGTAAATGGAGAAGGGTATTAATTTCTTGCGTTATTGGAGGCCTACTTTGATCCCGCTATATGGTGCCCACGATAACGTGATTATTATAAAAGTTAGATAAATTAGGCGCTACGAGTTTTTTTTGTGACGAAATATATTTTTTCGATTGGGGAAATTCATTTCTTCGATAAAGTGACGACAGTTACTTCATCACTTTGACGAATATTCGCTCGGCGCATATACCAAGAAACAGTTTAGTTTTTAAAAAGATTGGTGAAATTCAATTATCCATTATTTACAGTGTATTAACCGTTTTCTAGCATCATTATTGATTTTGTATTCTCAATTTAGAAACCATCGCCATTCATCAGTCAATTGGTATTCTCGATGATTGTGCTTCTAGAACATCGATAATGGCTCTTGGCGTTACAACTGCTTTGCTTCTGGTCATCTACATCTGCACTGTAGCTTACTTTGTAGCACACCAGAGGGCGGAAAAAGAGTTTAGAGGCTGAATTAAATTGGAACCAAAATAAAAGATTCAATTCATTTTATAGAGAATTGGAGAGCAATAATCTCAAAGAGTTGCTCTTAACTTTCCTATGACATGCAAGTTTCTGTGATTGACTGAAAACTCTTTAATATTTATTTTTGTATAAGAACAAAGTTCCTTTTTTTATGAATTTGTAAAGTAATTCTTATTTGTGTTCTTATAATTACAATTCTCTAATGTAATATGTAATGGTTTTCTTTAGAAATGCCTTAACAAAATATTTCTTATTTGCATAGTTTAGTATGTGAATTCGCTGTATGGATATTGAGTAATATAATATCCCTTTTTGACCCTTCGATTATTTACGCAGTATATTCGCGTTTCATTTTAAAAGCAACTAAAATTATTGCTTTTAGATTCATCGTAATATGATTTAATTTTAGAACAAAAACAATAGCACATGTTTCAGTCACCGCTTTGGAAAAATTAAATTTTGTTGTATTTATAGCTATTCTCTTATAAAATGAAATTTAAAAAAAAGACATTAACTGATTAACCTAACTCTGAACAAAAGTTTCACCTTTTATTTCCACTTGCTTTTATTTTATTTCATACTATTTTCAATTAGTAATTATAAATATTCACTCAAAAAAGTCCAGCTTTCTGATGAAATTAATTTCGATTTATATTTTTAACTTGAAACACGAAAATACACTTTTGTCATCGCCTTATTGGTTTATGACTGTTATTGTTTCGTGAGAATTGCGAATGAAATGGGAGAAAAAACTTACATTAATTTTGTGTAATTTGAAAAGTGTTTGAAATTAAAAATAATTATTAAATTAATGTAATATTACATTAAGCCTTTACTTAATACCTCAAATTTCAAATTACTTATGCAGTTTTTAAATTAGATTTTTTATTTTACTTTAGCATACTTTTAAAAAAAATTACTTTGAAACTAATAATCCTTCTTAGCTGTTTAAACATTTTTTTAATTACAGACAAATCAAAAAAATATTCTAATGAATTAAATGAAGTTTATTCCTTCTAATGCGTAATTTCTAGCATCGTTTTTATATGCTAAGATGAAACTGATTAAAAGTATTGTATACATGTGGATTAAACCAGCTTTTTGTCTTTTACCAATTAAAACTATTTTTTCACTTTTTTTATTTATTGTAGTTCAAAAGTATTTGTTCATTCAAATGTAGCAAATAATACTTCTATGGTGTCATGACACTGCCAATCATTTTTAATTTATTATTTTCATTTATTTATTATATTATTTATTTATATCATTATTTATTGTTCATATGAAATAAGATCATCAAATGCTCATTGATATTATTTGTTCATCTTGCTTCGGGCAGCTATTTGTTTATTTGTATTATAAAGCACTATGAAAATAATAAGCGTCATTATCTGTTCGTACAATGCATGTTGTTATTTTATAAATTGAAAGCTTTTAAAATAAAACTATTTTGCAATATTTTTCTAAAGTTGATACCGTAACTATTTTTGTATGCAACCTTAACTCGTAGTCGAAAAAACTAATGGCATCAAGTGTACCATTATTTTTTTTAAACTACATAAACTACATCGTAGACAAAAATGATAGTAATATCAATGGTACCATTATTTTTTCTTGAATTACATCATAGACAAAAATAATGGTATCAATATTAAAACGAAAATATAATGGTATCAGTACTAATTTAGAAGCAACCACAGCAAATATTTCATAAACAGAAAACTTCCAAAGAGTATCAGACTTGGAAATTAATCCATCTACTATTTACCTATTTTATTTACCTGTTTTATTTACCTATAATTTACTTATAGATGATAAGTAATGGTGTCAAGTTAAAAAAATATTTTTACTCGGTATTCTTTAATATTTATTTTTACTAAATTTACAATTTCTGTTCCAATTTTAAGTAGTATTATTAGCATTTTAACAATCTCGGTGCTTTTACGCTTACATCATCATCTATTGAAGAATGAATCTAAACCATTACTCTGTAAAATACTATAATGTATCATTAAACTAAAGAAGCATATAGCTAAATTCTCTTAATAATTTTTCAAAATTTGGCTAAATATTGAAATTTAGAATAATCATTAAAATGTTTGAACTGATTTCAATATCGTTTTTTCATACCAGCATAAAAAAGAAAATACCTCTGGAAGTTTGCACTTTGAATGTTCTCAAGATTTACTCAATAAATACATTCGAATAAATATTGATGTAAATAAATTTTGAGAACCTACATTAAAATGTATATGTCTTATTATTTTCGTAGTGCTTGGGGTTCATGAGTAATTTATTCAAAGGGTTGTGATATGTTTTTGAATGGCTTTATGTGTTTTTGTTAAAAAGCTACTGTATTTTATGATAACTTATTTGTAAGAAGGTTTTAAAATAAAATTTTTACATACATTTTTCTGATTCCTTAATATCTTAATATTTAAATTGTATCTTCATATGTGTCGAAACTAGCTTGATCTTTAGAGTAGAATTCTTCGCTGGTGAGATGGAGTCTGCAACTTCTACACAGTTAATCAAATTTTATTAAAATCTTAATAGCTCGAACATTTTTGCACTAATCTAATTTCTTTTCATGGAAGGATTCTTACGATAGAAATATTTTCAATAAAACATTAGCATAATGCATAAAAAGTAAGCAGAGAAAACGTAGTGTAGGATAATGACATTTCTGATAATAAAAAAATCTGGTTAATTAAATTAAAATATACATTATTTAAACTATTCATTTGGTAGCTCTTCCCATTCATATGGTAACAGTTTACTAAAAATTCTGATTTTCAAAATTATAGTTCCTACTAATACACGTTTAGTAAAAAATACGAAACTGTGAAGTAAATTTAACGAAATAAATTATTTCTATAACATGCTCTTGCAAATCATGATAAAATTACAAAATTTGTATAACATGTTATTATTTATTTTTCCAAAATCATTACCAAAGTGCTTCTATAAAAATAACCGAACTTTTGGGTGTTCCCATAGAGCCAGAAACACGATAAATTTCACCATATTCTGTAGTTTTGAACATACTTTTTTTCTCAATGTATCTTGAAGTTTAAAGTGTGCATCATTTAATTATTAAAAACCGCTAAGTGGGAGTTTTTAAAATTCGTCACTTTTTTTCCCCTCCATAATTTTGATTCCCTTCCTTACCCTTTTCACAAAATCTCCCCCTTCACCCTACATCCTAACCCCTCCTAGTCGCATTGTTACGTTATATTACATAAACTTATGCTTACAGTTCAAGTACGTTACAAATTATATCTCAAATTTTATTTTTAAACTCCAACTATATATTTTAATGGCACTTGTGAGCATTACAATAATATTTATTACATAACAATATATTAATTCATTATATTATATTGTATATATTTTAACGGAAAAGATAAAACAATATATAAATAAACAATAAAAACATTTAATCTGTTGATTTAAAATGTTTTTTCTTCCCCAAAAATTATTAATGAAACAGTTTTTTTAAGCCCTCCCCCTTATCATATTTTTAATTACAAATATGAAATCATAGACCAAGTTTACTCTATTTCCCTCCTTTCTTTTAATCAATGGAGTATTCATACAAACATAAAATATCATATCTAGTTAAAATTTTGAATTACTTTAAAATAAAAAATGTTAAGAATGAAGCAAATATTTAAAAATCACAAAATTGATAAAAATAATTCTGTTACTAGAAACGTATGTGAAGTCTAGTATTTGGCGTGATATTGGCAAATTCTTACTGAAATTCTATTCCAAATATAAAATATATACATCAAAAATATCTTTAAAGGTCGTGAACTGATTTTATTTTGGAATAATGTTTATTTATGTCATGTAATGGATAAAATTCAATTATAAACCATGTAATAATAAATAGAAAACTGAAATTTTATAGTCAGTCAATTGCATTATTACAGATAAATTGTATGCAATATCCGTCTGTAATCTATATTTTCAATCATAATGGCTAATAAAAATCAGAGAACTATAATATATACGCGCAGCATTGCATATAGCTTCTACGAGACTGCTTTTAACTCCTTCAGGACGGGCGAAACGAGAAGTACTGAAAGAATGCATACTAAGGAGTGAGTATATGTACTGTACTAATACGGGTTGTAATACGAGAGCACCTATTTCATTTCAAGTCTATATTGTCTTGGGAGCTGTTTTATGTATGGTAGTGTGGACTATGAAGGGAGAATTGCAAGATCACATATGATAATTGTACTGGAGGATTTGAATTGAAGCTAAGATAGACGCTGACTTAAAATGCCTGTCATTTCTCCAAAATTAGTGCCCATTAATTAATTATAATCATAAATAGATCACTGGTTGTAATAATGAATAACTCTAGTAAACAATAACAAAATAAATAAATAAAATACTCGTATAAATTTTTTTTTTATTAAAAATGAGAAATGAGAAATTAAAACATTATGAGCGAAAAATTGAAACTGTATGACAAAAAAAGAATGAGTTAATTGAGGTTCAAAGAAACTGAATAATCAATTTCGCTTGGTTAAGCACAGCTCATGTGGTTTAGGAGCAAGGCCAATCCCTAAATTTCCTTCCAAATTTGGCTTTGTTTCAGGTGGTAAGGATACCTTAAATTTCCGAATAATTGCGACAAAGTACAAGAAAACTTCCATTTTTGCGAAAGATTCACCAGGACATAACCGTTTACCTGAAAAAACCAATTCAACCATTGAATTTATAATAAAATTTGATGTCAAAGGGAAAGAAATATGAAAACAGTTGCGCAGAAAATGGTCAAAACTACCATAATATATTCAAATTTACCGTTTTTCTGGACCAATTAGAACAGCAAAAAGCTCAGTAACTTTTACCGAAGCACTATGGTTACAGTAAAATATTCTGTCATGCGATAAAATGTAGTAAAATTTGGTAGCAGTATGAGCATGGAATAAAAAGAATTTATTCGGTTAAATTTACTTTAGAATCTCGTATTTTTTCTAAATGTGTAGTATTGAAAACTATAATTTTGAAAACCAGAAATTTAGGTAAACTGTTTCCATGTGAAATGAATAATTGCAAAATTAATAGTTTAAATACCGTATAATTTGGCTTTATTAAACAGGATTACGTTTTTTTTAACAAAAAATGTCCTTATTATTCTGTACGACAATTACCAAAATATATCTAGCAGTGTCTTACATAAAGTATACAAAACTTTTATAAAAGTATTTTTTACTTCTAACTAGTAGCTCTTTAGCATCAGTATAATTCAACTTCTTTACATCGATTTAATTTTTGGTATAGGAATAGTATCAATGGTAAAAACAAGAGGTGAAACAGCTTAATACGGGTGGAAAAAGCATGAAACAATCTCGGGTGAAACAGAAGGACGGAATTAAGCAAATAAAATTCTATATCATTTAGAAATTTCCTGTGTTTATTCACTTATGAACCTTATAAAATGTTTATGATGTTTTTTGATCATTCATAGAGACTATTAATCTCGATCAATTTAAAGTTACACAATTTAATCAAGCGTGCCACGAACTTAAGATTTTGGAGTAAAGCGGAAATTAGTAATTTATCGATCTCTAGTTTTACCGAATCTATATCTAATTTTTGCATGGAATTGGCTCTAAGCAAAGCAATGAATCATTTCCCATAATTGAGCGACTAGCATTTTTTATAGTTTTATGCATACTAAGAAAATGATCTTTGGCTGTGGTGCAAGTTAAATGAGAATTCATTTGCTAAAACCGTATTTTCGTTCCTTTCTGATTATAACAAGACTTCTCTTTATCTGAGACCTTTTTTTACTGGAATAAGAAAGAATTGCTTGCTCAATTTTAAACGCATTCGGCAAAGTAAACAATGTTTAAATTAGCCTGATGTCAGACAAATTTCCAAATACCTGAAAAGGGAAATTTTTTAGAGGTCTCAGTGACCTCCCATTCCGATGTTTTCGAGTTTGACATGATGTAAACTCTTCTAACTTCCTTTTTATTGTTTTATGTTTCCAATGTAGGAAAATAGATAAACGAGGAATCCTTAAAATGATGTGACCATTCAGGAATTATACCTATACTCCGAAGTTATACTTATACCTATACTCCGAAGTTATACCTATACCTATACTCCTAAGCAAGACCATTGCGGTATAGGATTTAAGGAATCATCCGCGACTGCATATAGTTACTTTTTATTTAGGTATCAAATTATTTAATTATACTTTCAAAACAATATAAAAGCTTTTAAAAGTTAAACTCGTCGGAAAGAAATTTAATTCGTGCCTTTTTTATAAGCAAAAAGAAGGTCGTTCTATGTCGTTTCTCGACTTGACGACGCTGATATTCGTTCGCACTGGAGCTTGGCATCCATTTAGAGTGCACCTAGATGCAAACAGGCTCTCTCTATAGGAATAATCGCGTTTTTTCCTTAACTTGCAACAGAGTATAAGCACAGTTATTTTCTTTTAAAAATATACAAATTATGAGCAGATTCTTTTTTAAAAAATATATGCATAAGATGCTTCAGTTTTTGGTTTTTTTCCCTGTAAAATGAATCCAAATAGAGGAATTAATTTACTTTAAGTATTGTTTATTGTCCATTTGAAATCTCTACTTACCAATTGAAAATGGAATAAAATATTCCGATTTCTTCACTTGTTTACCGTCATCCGTCAAAAATCTTTCGACTTGAAAATCCTCTGCATCTTTTCCCCAATATTCAGGATTGTGATGAATATCCCACAAGTTTAAGATCACGTAATTTTCTTTCGGAATATAATAGCCATTCAATTCTGTATCCATAAGTGTGCTGAAAATAAATTAATTCATTAAAATTTAAATTTTGAAAAAAAAACTGTAATTGAATTATTGTATTCATAATGTACTTTATTTAAAGTAGAGATTTAATGAATGTATCAAATTTCCGATACCAATTTAGGCTTAATATGATTGACATATAACAAATAGAGGTATTAAAACTCTAGTTTCGAAACTTAGGTAAAAAAAAAAAATTATTATATACTACACTAGAAAAAGCCTATTTTTGAAATTTTGTATTTGAGCTCTGAAATTAATGCGCAGTAATAATACTATTATGTAGATCAGGAGAGTATTGGTAAGAAAATAATAATTTTTAGGAGTAAAATCTTTCCCATTCTAATGAAAACCTATACTTCTTTTTAAAGTTATTGAAAAACTACAAATAAAAGCGTAAAAGGACAATTATTTTAACTGTTTAACTGTTCGAAGCGATTAGTTATCAAAATCAAAGTAATGAGCCATCAAATTTTATAACCGGTGTTGAATAGCCGACCCAGTTCTGAGTTCAATCAATGTTCAACTCCATACACTTGTAATTTTGAACATAATCCAGAAGACAAGGGAACTCCTGGATAAGGCATTGGGATAAACTTGCCTTCGTAAAAGACTTTTTAATGGAACTAACCTTAATTTGCGTTACATGGAGAGAAACACTATGGACTCCTATGGTTATCCTGACTGCAAAGGAATTCTAACCCAAGACCCGTCTGCCACTGAAGAGGATTTATATTAGCACTGTTGTCGGTGCGAGCCGGGAGCAGAATTCATATCAACCAGTCCACGCTGTGATTCGAACCTAAGTTACATTATTCGGAGTCAAGTGCTCTGTCTTTAGCAAACGCAGCTCTATTTATAGATTCGTGTAAGAGTACTTACTATCTCAAAACGTTTAAAGGAATAATGGTTCGCCATCTCATTAATTCCATAATGGTCGCTTCAGTGTAGGGCATGTTTAAATGGTCTTTCCAGCAAGGGGTACGTTCTCGACCAATAACAGTTTCAATTTCTGAAGCTACTTTTTCTTGGACTTGGGGAAAAGCAGCCATTGTCAGTGTAAGCCAATCCAATGTGAGACGTACTGTTTCACTTCCAGCACCGAGGAAAACTCCGACCATGTCTTGAAGCACAGGTTCTAACATAAAGAAAATGTGCTTATGGTATAACATGAAATAATAGTAAAAAAATTTTTTAAAGACACGTTTAAATTTTTAAAAAATATATACTAAACCACTAACAGCTGTTTACTGTTCGATGGGGTAAAAGAAAAGAACTGATGCTAAGCCACTGCTGTTTAATATTCGAAGGAAGAAAAACGAAGAGGAAAAAACAGGAGTTGTAGCTGATATAAAGTAATATAAGGGTTGGAATGCCATCTTATTCACTAACCGATGCATGTATGCATGTATATCATTGATAATCAATCGGCATAAAATAAATAATTTTAAAAATTTCAGAGCAAAACTACTAATTTAAGGTGAGACAGAAATATAACCTATACAAATTAGTTTTTGGTACAGTGAATCAAGCAAAAAACGGACCACCTTGAATTGCTTTAGATCTTATGAATCTTATCGGATCCTTATAATCTAAAGCTCAATCTTATCGCTCGAAGGGTAACCTCAAATATGCTAATTAATTAGTACATGCGATATTTTAAATTACGAAATCAGACACAAAAACGTACTTTCCCTGAATAAACTTACCTTTTTTTCTAATGGATTCGAATTTATGACCCCCAAAATATAAGGGGTAGCCACAATCTGGGAAATATGATCCCCATAGTTTAGTCAGGAGAGCGATCCAAAGCTTGAATCCATAAAGGTCAATTTTACTTTTTGGGATTATTCACCATATTTTCAAAACTTTTTAAGCCAATTAAAAAAAATTAGACACATTTATAAAATTTGCTTATCCATAGATAGATCCATGCAAAACATTTAGTAAATTTCAGTAAACATCTATCATTTCTTATTACTCTATATAATAATAGTAGAAAAAGTTTCGGATTGTAAGATATACATTTTTTACATCATATTAAATTCGATTTCTAAAGAACTATTGAACCTATTCCACACAAATTTTATATTTTCCCATGTAAAATTACATTNAAAAAGTTGTTATATGGATTTGAATGATTGTTTTGAATTCTTAGAATTTTGTGCATTTGCAATGTACCTAAGTTAGTAGCGAGCTTGATTTGCGAAGCAAACCATATAAGATTGCGTAGCAATTATCGGGGGTTGGCGAGCGTTAGCGAGCAGGGGGCGCAGCCCACTAGTATATACTAAACCACTAACAGCTGTTTACTGCTCGAAGGGTGGGGGGAAAGAACTGATACTCATCCACTGCTGCTTAATATTTGGAGGAAGAAAAACGAAGAGGAAAAAACAAAAGATGGAGCTGATACAAAGTAACCAACTGCAAGGGATGGCATGGCTTCTTATTCACTCACCGATACATGTATGCTTTAAATCGATCTAGCGTTGATAATCAATGGACATGAAATAAATAATTTTAAAAACTACAGAGCAAAACTACTAATTTAAGATGAAAAAAAATATAACCTATGCAAATTAGTTTTCTGTACAGTGAATCAAACAAAGAACGGACCCCCCTGAATAACTTTAGATCTTCTGAATCTCATCAGATCTTTATTATCTAACTCTCAATCTTATGGTTCGAAGGGTAACCTCAAATATGTTAATTAATTAGTGCATACGATATTTTAAATTATGAAATCAGACACAAAAAAGCGTATTTTCCCTAAATAAACTTACCTATTTTTCTAATGGAATCGGATTTCTGACCTCCAAAATATAAGGGGTAGCCACAATCATGAAATATGATCCCCATTTCTTAGACAGGAGAGCGATCCAGAGTTCGAATCCTTTAATGTTAATTTTACTTTTTGCTTACTTCGCCATATCTTGAGAATTTTTTAAGTCAATTAAAAAAAAATTTATACACATTTATATAATTTGCTTGTCCAAAGATAATTCCGTGCAAAACATTTAGTAAATTTTAGTAAATATTTATCATTTTTCATTTCTCTACTTAATAATAGTAGAAAAAGTTTCGAATTGTAAGATATACTTTCTTTATATCATTTTAAATTCGATTTAGCGAGAACTATGCAACCAATTTCGCTCAAATTTTGTATTTTGCCTTATAAAATTACATACTTTAAAATTATGCAAGAAATGTATACCTTACAATTCATAACTTTTTCTATTTTTATTAAATAAAAAAATAAAAAATAATAAATTTTCACTCAAATTTATTTTTTGAATGGAATTATCTTTGGACAAACGAATTTTATAAATACAATTTTTCACAAAAACGATTGTTTCCATTATTAAGTTCAATGTCAACAATTGAAATTTTTCTGAGGCAACTCTTAACCTCTAAATATTAATTTTCTTATGTACACATTTCTAAATGTCAGTATTCAACCACAAAACAACTTAAAGTCCTCAAATTTAGCATGAAGTTGAAAAATGTAATGAAAGAGGGTCATAGCAATAATGAAAGTAGAAGTAAAATTAGTACGGTAAAATTAAAACAATATTTTTAATCAATGAGCCAAGTTCTTCAAGAAGCAGTTGTAGAAGTAGGTTGTTTATTTAAAACTTTTTATAGAATTTCTTTAAGAACACAATTGTTAATTTGGGCATTTGGCGATACAACACTTTTAGAATTGAAGGATTTGTTACGTCAAGCGCTCAGGTATCATAATTTTGATCTAGTTGCGCTTCTATGTCATTTTGATTTATGTTGCTAAGTTAACTTTCAAAAAATTCTATGGCTGGCAACAGCATTTTTATTTTTTAAGTTGTTTATTTTTATTTCTTTTAGAATTCGTTATTTTTTTAGCGAAATGTTTTTTAACCTAACAGAATTCTTTGCCGTCTGTTTCCTCTATGAATGAAGAAAATAAAATAAATATTTAACTGTTGTGAAAAGAATCTTATTTAGTTATACTAAGTACTTCAGCCAAAATTTGGGAGCCACGTAAGAGAATTATATACATTAGATCAGAAACACATCATTAAAAGGCAGAATTCTTTGGTGTTTTCAAAACAAAGCAAACGTTGCCACCGGCGGAAAAGAAATACAGCCAAAATTTGGGAGCCACGTATTTGGGAGTCACGTTTGGGTAAGAGAATTATATATAATAGATGAACAAACAACTTTTTAATTCACTTAAAATGTTCTCGAGATATGGTGAAATACACAAAAAGTAAAATTAATATTAAGGGGCCTAGACTTTGGACCGCTCTCCTGATCATACTATGCGTACCATATTTCCCAGTTTGAGAACTAATCCCTATATTATGGGGGTCAGAGATCCGAATCTCTCACAAAAAAAATATATGCTTACTCAGAGAAAGTACGTTTCTGTGTCTTATTTCGTAAGTTAAATATCGTCTGCATTGATTAATTTGCATATTTGAGATTGTCCCCATGAATCAATCTTAAGATTGAGTCCTAAAATGTTAAGATAAAATCATTAGATGAAAAGTTATTCAAGGTGGCCTGTTTTCCTTTTTTTGTGGTACGTTGTATATTTATATTTTTCTTTATTTCCATAATTACTTTATAAACAATTACTAAATGTTTATCTCCATTTAGTTATTTAGTATTTAGTTAGATGATAAGGTTATCATTTATTATCATACGCAGTTGACTTTTCTTCTCAGTGCCAAAGTAGAATCCTTTCAGCCAATGCTAATAATTTTTTTCCACCCGAATTTCCGGATAGAATGTGTTTCATTTCATCACGAAAAAAAAAATCAAACTTACTACAAAAAGCTTTATCATTTCTTTTTTGAATTTCTGTTAGATAACCATCAATGTAATCTCGTATATTGTTTTCATCCAAAGATTTTTCGTGATCATCAATTTGTTTTCTAAAATGAGAATTTTCTATCAAAGCTAGCAGATAAAATAAGAAAAAACAATCATAAAAATGGCTTCATATGTACATAATTATATCATATCAAACAATTCAAATGTATATAGTAACTACCTTTATAAATAAACCATCGGAGAGTAACTAAGGTCTATTATCATTCTATTTGGTTAAATGCATAGCCATCAAACTCCTAAAATTAGTGACTAAATAATGATAATTAACATTTTTTAATTGGTAAAATAAATTTTAAGTTTTAAAGACATTTTGAATGCGTTTTGAAGTGATTTTTTCACGTTTTGAAGACATTTTATCATGGTTCTTTAGAGTAAGGCGTAGTAACTATTTACCAGTGTTTTATTTTTATTTGTATTATGTTTGAGCTGTAATTTTAAAAGCCACAATTTACAATAAGCCATTAGCATAATACAGAAAGAAATTATAAGACAATTTAAATATCATAAATTTTGGTGTTAAATACAAAAAATTCTCGTTTTCTTTTCTTTTTTTAATCAGAAAAGCCTTTACTATACAAACATGGCTTTTTGACAAGATTTTCTCTCTCGGTTTGATCTGTCATATTCCATAACTTACAATCTTAAGTTTGAACTTCCAGTATTTTTCGATCTACACATTTTTAATTTAACTTTCACACTATAAAGAAATATTTTTTTAACTATTTATATTTTATTTTTTAACCATTGTTGAACAGCCAATCCAATTTTTGGGTTTACGACTACTAAAGTTCAACTCCGTACCTTGCTATTTTGAACACAATCCAGAAGACATGGGAGCTCCTAGATCAAGTATAGAGAGAAATTTACCTTCGTGGAGGACTTTTTGATGGATTTAACCAGCGTGTGTGTTATCCCACAGTTACCCTACGGCAAGGGAACTCTAACCCATAATCCCGCTACCACTGAGGAAACTTTACGTCAGCACTGTGGTCGATGCGAGCCGGGTGCGGAATTCGTATCTACCAGCCATTCATGGGATTTGAACCCAGTTCACCGCATTGGAAAGCGACCCCTCATCTCCTGAGAATTCGTCATTTTGAGCCCTTTATAGTAGTGCTCCTTAACCTTTTTATTGTCGCGGATTGATCAAAGTTTGTAATTTTACAGCGGCCCGCTGAGGGGCAGAATGTTGATTGTTTATATTTTAGGTTGCTTTGATTTAATAATTTTATTTTAATTGCATTTGAACATGCTTTCAAAATATGAATGCATGGTATTAGTGAGAGTCTCTCAGCTCCCTCTAAACCTACCGTCCGTAGAAAGTCGTACAAATCTGACAAAAATACATGAAAGATTTAGAAAGATCAAAACCCTAAGAGACACTCATCAATTACGTAATTTAATTTTATTTTTGTACGAAAATACTCCATATCATTAATAGATGCTGCATAAATTTTTATTATTACTTTTTTGAATTATCCGAAAACATTGTCAATTTCTTTTTAAATGCATATTTTGGAATTAAATTCATTTGGCAATTTCTGTAGATAAATTCCTTATATTTTTAAGAACTAAACATCACACTAACTGTGAGTAATCTATCACAAAACTATTAGATGTTCAGTTTTACATTTAAACTAATTTTGCTCAAATCTTTTTGTTTGAAAACATGTAATACTTTCCTCTTCCCGTACTCATAGGAAAAGAAACGAAATTGCTCTTATATAATTAATTTCTATATCAAATATAATACGTAGATTAAAAGTTAGGATATCTTACTTAGAAAAAGACTTATTCTTACTTAGTGTATTCTATGGTTTTTGCGATTTCAGTCGTTTTCCTAAAGCCTAATAATTTCATGAATTTCGCTAGAAATGGAAAAAACAGCCCCCATTCTACTTGTCCAGCCGCAGCGGCTGCTGCTCCCAAACCTTTGTCCAACATTTGACGGGCTGGATCATCATATTTAAGCCTTTGTCCAAAGATTAGTGAGGTTATGTTATTGGAGACGCTAGATGCTAAAATGGGTCTAAGAACAAATGGCTTTCCTCCAAATTGTTCGAAATGATTCAACAAATCAAGAATTTCTTCCTAAATAAAGAGAGCATAGAAGAAATTATTTACAAATTGCATAGAAAAAACTAGGAAAATATTAAATCGAAATTAATTATATTTTAATTTCGAATGAATTTGAAAAACATTTATTCATTTAACAGTCTTTTGAGATAAGAGATTTCGTTACAGTCAGCTATTTGATCTAAAAAATGGACAAGTAATTTTTCAGATTGCTACAGAATTATCAAGTATCACTTATTTCAATTTAACAAAAAGTTATTTATAACTTTATGTCGTTTGAAATCAAGAAAAAAAGTGGAGTAGTCTGGATTTTGATAACAATATCAATTTACATCTGATAATACGGTTCTTTTTTTTTCGATAACATTCCCTCATTGAATTATGGCGGAAATATTAAGAAGAAAAAACATTATTTGAGTTTACTTTAGACAGAGTATTGATACTATCAATACTCTAGATCAGTGTTTCCCAACGTGGGGCCCACGCCCCACTAGGGGGCAATTTAATTGCAAAGGGGGGCAATTCAAAAATGGACTCGACATGAGTTTAAACCTTTTGCTCTGAGCCATTTAAATGCAACGCGAGATTTCGGTGACAAAATCGAAAGAAAAAAGCAAATTCTTGAATAATTGCGGTCAATAAATATTATGTGACTGAGGGATTTTTTAAGTGACAAACCTGAAATGAAGTATCTGTTTACAGTCGATGGTAAAGCATTTGTGAGTTATTTAGTCAATATCTTTGAAAAACTGAATATATTAAATAAGAAACTTCAAGGAACAAATAAAACCTTGTTGATGCAAAAGCGAAGATNAAAACAAGTCTTTAAGCGTCGAAATCCTCAGTCGGGAAATTCAGGAATGATACTGTTTGATCTAAAATGCAGAAATGGGCCAAAAACAGCAAACAATAATAAAACATTTATGAGAAATGAATAAAGCTAATTACCAAATTATTTAGGCTTAGAACTATGAGGTTAAAACCTATAAAAAAGTGAATATTTTATCAGTTTTCAAGGATCGGGGAGTTGAGTTGATTTTTGAGTTCAAACGCGTTAGTTTCTACTAACTTCTGTTAAAGTAAATTTTTAAATCATACTCTCTCAATTTTAAGAAAAATAACTCAAAAAAATTACTTTTATCACTCAAGAGCCCAGTCATGACATTATTATAGGTTGATATCATCATGCAAAATCTGGAATTTGATACGAGATTCAACTTAAATAACTTACTTGTAAATGTTCTTCCATTTGTGTTCTGGCGAATCCCAGATCTCTTAGAAGGTGAAGAGAGAACCTTTTTTGATCTGTCCATGGCAATTTATTAAATGCACCAGTTTCTAAAAAGTAATAAACCATTACATAGTGTCCCAAAAAGAGCAAAAAGTTTTTCTAAACCAGTTATTGGAATCGAGAACTTAGAGAAATTGTTCTGAAGGAAATACTGTTCTTTCTTTATTTTTTACTTCTACCTTAATAATAATTCCAGTATGGGCGAATCAATTGGGAGCCGCAGAGTAGGGATATAGTGCAGGAATTTAGAGGCTCTGTAGTTCATTCATTTAGGGATTCATTGTTACTGTGATCATGAAGAAATAAACAGCAAAACAGAGAAGCTGAGCGGGAGAACTAAGAAATTAGAGTGAAGTGGTAAAGCCAGGGAGGTGCAAAACAGCAGTATAAAACTTTTCGATGCAAAAAAATTTTAATAGTCCAGTGAAAATAAACAATTTTTCATCACTACAACAGGAACTAAAATCCACCTAGTTAAACTCATTAGTAAATATTTTAGCAATTTTACTAGAAAAAGCATTCTAAATATTTACCAAGTGTTAGAAAGGCTGTTTTGCCATAATTCTCCTAAGTATGAAGTATCGCAGAATACGGATTTAATTTACAACAACAGCTATATTTAGTCTCAGTATTTAAATTAGTTGTTTTAGTTAAATACGAATTCATGACCTCAAACCACACTACTGATATATCTTCCCACTGTTTTTTTTTCCTGACATTTATTTAATTCTTTTGCATTTGACTCAATTTATAAGATCATTTTATTTCTTAAGCAATTAAATTCTTCATCAGACACTTAAACCAAACAAATATTTTCAAATAGTTGTCAGAAGAGAAAAATGGGATTCGTACCTTAAAATAATAGTAGGATGTATAAGAAAAATAAATTATTATTAGTAGTTATAGTATTGTTACCTAAGGTCTCTTTGGTCAGTTCGAAAAGTGAGACCGGTGGTCTTCCCATAAATGCAGTCTGAGCAAATGCAGCTTTCGCAGAATGATAATCACTAAGCACTATTATGCTTTGTGTACCTAAACGCGTTCTGTAAAACAAATTTTTGATAAATAAATGCTATTCGGAACTCATAAGACATAACGCAGTTATACACATTATAATGAATAATATTATAACAACTGGCAAAATAAATTAATACGTATAATTATAAACAATAAGGAAAAACACTGTAAAAAAACTTACTGAGTGATTTTATTTTTTAGTGGCTAACATTAGTTGTAACAATTTATCTAAAAAGATACAGCCGAAAAACGACAGTCGAAACAGTAAAACACAAAAATAACAGACGAAAAATAATTTCCCAACGAAATTAGAAAACGATTACAAAATTTTGAATTTCAAAATAGTTATTAAGAAATTCAATATTCCCAAATTACTTCTGAACTTTAAATTTGAAATAAAGTACTTAAATCTAAATTTGAAAATAAGCACTAAAGCAATATTAAGCTAAAAACTTAAAATATTTTTTTTAAAGTAAATAAAACTTACCTGAAAACGGGACCATATTTTTTTGCTAATTTTTGAAAATCTAAGTACGGCTTAGAACTCATAAAAGGGTAATAACCGACGAAAGGTAATCCATAAGGGCCAGGAAGTAGTTTGCGAGTTTCCCATGTAGCGATACAAAAAATAATAAAAACAATAAAACTCGCACATACTAAAGCTGTTGTCAATTCCATTATTACTGCTATGAAATTTAGAAAATAGAGGAACTTAAATAGTCATTTATAAAAAATCTGATTACATATTGCCAAAGTAAAACAATATAGGGAGATAAATAATTTTTTTAAAAAAAATATAGATAACACTGTAATGTTCAAAAAAGGAAGCTTTTTCGTTGCACGCGAGCAATAGCACGCATTTATTTGAGACTTATCAATTCCAAATACTTTTTTGTCTATTCAGCAGCATGAAATAATTGCAAAAACTTGATTTAAATTGTTAAATCATAATCAAAATATAGTCTTTTGTTTACGAGTCATTGACCGTATGGGAAATGATACATGACTGTCAAAATTTTATTTTTATCTTAACATGCGATATGCAAAAATGTTGTATGAAATAGCTTAATACAAATGTGTTTATTATCTTTCTAACACTTATTATTTATCGTTTAAATCTTATCATTCAAATTAAACTACGATGAGAAGGTAAAAGCACCCAGACGATTGCAAAAGTCAGTTAATCAATCAACCTGACTCTGCATTAACCCTTTATCGCACCTTTTTGCATAGCTTCAAAGCTGTGCTTGAATTGGATTTTATTTACTGTCTTCTCTAATCTAACATATAAAAAGGTAACTACAGGTTTTTGAATTTTCATTTCTCAAAACTACAAGTCAATTTCGAAAATCGCTTTGCACATCTTCAGAGATGCCTGTCTTAATTGACCACCGTCTGAGCTAGTTTAAACATTGAAGGGAATGCTGTTTTCCGCATATAGTTTTGTTAGTTTGGCGCCTACTGTCATTTCGGTACGAAGGATAATTGCTGCTCTGAACGAAAATATCATAAAGTGTTTATTATAGCAATTTAAAGCTTCAGCCATTTCATTTCATATATATCTAGATGATTTTGTGTTTATTATTGCATATATTCTATTGTTTACATTATGTTGTGTATCAGTGTATATATAACATTGTGTATGCAGTTTTGCAAATATGCAAAGTAGCAAAAAAAAATTTACCCACTAATAAAATTTTAACTTATTTTTTCCAGAATTTTTTCTGGATTCCCTGAATTATGGATGTATCAAAATTGTTATTCTTACTTTTTAAAAAAGTTTGGAGGAAAAGGATCCGGATTAAGATGTACTGTTGCTGTTGAATTTTAGATCTGCACTTGAATAGTAAAAGGTCTCTTAATTAACGTGTAGAAATGAGATTATTTTATTTAATAACAGTCGAATAAATTTTAAATTGTAAGGTATACGGTTTTTACATCATTTTAAAGAATGCAAACACCCCTCAAGCCATTAAGATCGAGTCCTTGAAAGTCAATACCAGATCATTAAATCAAAAATTATTCAGGATAAACTGTTTTTTTTTCTTTCTTTAAAAAAAGCATATTATGTGTGTATGAGTGTACCTTTTACAAATTTGCACTTTTGAACTGACCCTCATCAAATTTCGCGTATATGTCAAGGAGTCTGGGCATCTAACTACCTACTTAGAAAATCTCTCCATTGATTACGGCACTACGTCCCGAAGAAAGAATTTTCCGTAGAATTTGACAAATGTTTTATAAAATGAATAATTTGCTAGTTTCAGCTGTAAACAATTAATAATCAGTTTCAAAGATCGTTTTGTAAATTATTTAGCTTTCCGTATGTTAGGTTATCACTGGTAAAATTAACGTTAATAATTTCGCACTGCATGATGATGACATCACCGAATTCGTATTTTAAAAGGTATATGAAATCAGGTGGTCATAATATTGATTCTTACGCTTTTAAAACTTATTTCTATCATCTTAAATAATGGAAGCTCACCAACAACTAATTAAATAAATTTGAAGTTATCTGTTAAGTGATAGAAAAATTGTGGAAAAATTTGAATATCATATTTTAAATGATACTATATAGTTAACCTTTCTTCCGAAGAGGTGGACTTCTAACCCATATTATGGTATATCTAAAAGTATGAAGCCTACCTTGAATGAACAATAAAAATAATAAATATATAAACGTTGTATATTAAATGGCATGAATACGTAGTATGATGATATTAAAGTTCTTAAACCACACTTTAGAAAAAGGTAGAAAAAACCTATTACCACAGTACCTATATTAACCATACATATATTGGTATGCTCAATGCAAATACCAGTAGTATTTATTAACACATTTAATTGAAAACACTGGTGTCAATAATAGTTAGATTTTTTATGATCTTCCAAATAAGTACTAATATTAGTTCGTTCATCAAAAATTATCATGAAAATATTAGTGGCGTTAATAATTGTTTTCGAGAATTATGATTAATTAATTTATGGTATTATTGATTTAGATTGTAAGTACAAATTGAAATAAAAAAGTTCTTTTGAGTTAAAAAGTTAAGTTAACTAATGAAAGGTTCTTATTCATGTAGGAAAACCATAAAACAATACCTTATTATTATTGATACCAATGACGCTTAGTTAAATTTAGTAATAGGTTATGTTTTAATAGGTACTAAGAATAATAATATCGGTACCAAGATATCTACTATAGGTACAGAGGAAATAAGTTTTTACGGCCTACCTAAAGGGATAGGTATCGGAAAAAATTGTTGTTTACGGTATTTTTTTAATTATCAAGAGTTTACATCAACAATAGCATTATACCAAATGGAAGAGAATGAATTTCTAAAACTATTTTTTGCTTTGTCTAATAGCATAAATCCTCCAGGAAGGTAACAAATAATTAAAAATAGAAAGTTTCAGCCTAATTAATTGTGTCGGTATATGTCTTTCAGTTTCGTGCCTTACTTCGTAGGGTGAATTAATACCAATTTGATGATTGTTTATTTTTATTTGCCCTGTACTAAGAACAGGTATTCATTAGAAATGAGTTCAGACTCGCTTTTATGTATGTCCGAGCTTGTCCGAGTTCAAAGAATTTTAATCCGAGCCCACCCGAGCCTGAGATACATAAGGTTCTTTAGAGTCCGAGTCCTCCCGAGATGTATGTCGGATAAAAACCAAATTTGGAGAACTAGCTATTAGGCCTTTTATTCCTAAACAAGAAAATTAGACATTAAAACCTTTTTATCACAATTGATTAATAAATTTTACATTTTTTATTCTTAATAACTGTGTCAAATGATTGTTTAAAAGCAGTAAAAAAGTTTATGAAAACTTTGTAATCAGTTTGAATCAGCCCAAACCTGACATTTTTTTTCAGTAAACGGGAGTCAGCATATGTTGTTCTCCATTTCTCGCTCGGACTAATTCCATCATTTCTCTAGAATGCATCGGGTAATAAATAATAAAAGAGAGAGAGAAAAAGTTTAACGGTTTCCTCAACAAAAAAAAAGTTCTAACTCTTTTACTAATGTGTAAAATTAAGCCACGTTTTCTGGTAATCAAATTTAAGAAGGATTAATTAATTGTTTTTATCCGATATGATATTTTTCTACTATACTAAAATTGCATGAATTTGAATTTAGAATACATGTAACTCAATGAAAATGCAAAAAAGAAAGCATCGAACTTAGTGAAATGGAAAATATTTTTATTAAGGAAGATGAAATAAGATGAAGTAAAATAACATATGAAAAAATTAAAGCTCTATTTCCCACAAAAACAAATTTCAAGTGTTCAAGTATAACTGTAGAATCAATTCCGCTTGGTCAAGCACAATTCATGTGGCTTTGGACAAAGACCAATCCCTAAAACTCCATCAAAATCGGGCTTTGTTCCAGGCGATAAAGAGATCTTAAATTTCTGTAGAATTGAAACAAAATACAAGAAAACTTCAATTTTTGCAAAAGATTCTCCTGGGCATTGCCGCTTCCCTAAAAATAAATAAATATATGAATCTATTAATATACATAATAAATAATACACGCATATTACTTAATTTACACTAATAATTCATGTTTCTCAGTAAATAAAAGATATATTTTCTTTGCATAATTCATCATATAGTATCATATCTTTTATAAATTCTATATTTTAACTCATAAAATGAATTTAATTCGTTAAAAATTATATGTAGAAAAGTGGTATTCATGTTTTTTTATAATAAATCATTGTGTTTTTTTCTGGTAAAGAATATTTTTGAAATTATTCAAACGATTTAACTTAAGTTCGTAATTTGGAACTTAAAATTATATTAGTATGCGGTAATTTTTATTTATTTACTCTTATATCTTACTATTAAGAAATCTTTCAATCATTAATAATTAAATAATTACTAAATATTATTTTTAAATGAAATTATCTTAACGCAAATGAATTTTATCATCCTATACAATTCATTATGAGTTTCTACAACTAGATTTAGAGAATTATAACTTTTATCAGGCTTATTATGTGTGAATTAAAAATAAAACTTCATTCTTTTAAATTTTTTAAAATTTTTTGCTGATTTTAAAACTGTCTTGAAATCGAAATACGATTCAGTGTAAGGTGATATGAAATTGAAACAACAAGGAAAGTTTTTCTCACTTTTTTTTCTTCTTTTTTTTATGCTATCCTTCAAAATTCTTTTAGTTATATGAAATAAAAAATTTTTAGCAAAAAAATATGCAATTTTTATAACTATTGAGACAGTTCATAACATTTTGGTTAAGTTTAGATAATCTCCACCCAGTGTCTTTTACTGCTTTTTATGAAATAGGCACCTACTCTCATCATGAAAAAAAGTTTCTTTAAAAAGATTAACGAAAGTAACGTTGTCGACCGGCCTGTGCAGGTACCGGTAGGTACCTGTCCTTGCAGGAAAGGTACAGGTACCTGCCTGTTCGAACCCAGGACCTAGAAAGGTCCTGGGTTCGAATCCCGGACAGGCATGGAAGTTTCCCTTTCTCTCTGTGTGTTCTATGTCCCTCCTCCTTTGTGTGTGAATGTGTGTGTATGTGACCTGCCCTATAAACGGGTTGTGGTTGCGTGAACGGCGTGGTAGAAGTCGAATTCCTGGCCATAGATGGCGCCACTGAAAAACAGAAACAATCGCACCCCCACTGCCTAACAGGCATACGACAAAAAAAAGAAAAAGAAAGAAAAAAGCAACGTTGCTTAAAACAAACGTTTTTTTAAACAAACGTTAAAGATTTTTAGAAAAAAATATGCAATTTTTATAACTATTGAGACAGTTCATAACATTTTAGTTATGTTTAATTAATCTCCATAAAGTGCCTTTTACCGCTTTTTATGAAGTAGGTGCGTTCTCTTATCATGAAGAAAAGCCTCAGTTTTTTTTAAAAATGAAAACAAAATCAATGTTGCTTTAAACAAACGTGAGTTCGAATTCAAGAGTATCGTACTCATCTTCCAGTAGAAGGAAGACTGTGCCATTTCTTTTCATCTTCTTCTTTCATTTTTAATGCAGGAAAAACGTAAAAGTAAAATGGTAAATAAGAATTTTTTTCTTAATGCAGGAAGTCTAATGGATGTTTCAGAGCTTTACTTACCATTTGAAAATGGAATGAAATATTCNAAGAAAGAAAGAAAAAAAGCAACGTTGCTTTAAACAAACGTTAAAGATTTTTAGAAAATAATATGCAATTTTTATAACTATTGAGACAGTTCATAACATTTTGGCTATGCTTAATTAATCTCCATAAAGTGCCTTTTACTGCTTTTTATGAAGTAGGTGCATTCTCTTATCATGAAGAAAGGCCTCAGTTTTTTTAAAAAATGAAAACGAAATCAACGTTGCTTTAAACAAACGTGAGTTCGAATTCAAGAGTATCGTACTCATCTTCCAGTAGACGGAAGACTGTGTCACGTCTTTCCATCTTCTTTCATTTTTAATGCAGGAAAAAAGTTAAGGTAAAATGGTAAATAAGAATTTTTTTCCTTATGCTGGATGTCTAATAGATGTTTTAGAGCTCTACTTACCAATTGAAAATGGAATGAAATATTCCGATTTTTTCACTTGCTTCCCGTCATCCGTTAAGAATCTTTCAACACGAAATTCTTCTGCATCTCTTCCCCAATATTCAGGGTTGTGATGAATATCCCACAAGTTGGCGACCACGTAACATTCTTTGGGAATAAAGTAACCATTCAGTTCTGTATCCGCCAAAGTACTGAAAAAGGAATAAATTACAGCCTATTTACCATTAAATAACAGCCTAATACATAAAATATTTCATTGCCTATATGGGAATAATGGTGTAACTTGTAAAAAGGGAGCTTATCGGAATACTGGCTCAAATTGTTCTGATAATCGTGCAGTGTTCTAATAAAGTAATCGTATTTGATTAAAATGATGAAAGAATTGATTATTATGATAACTTTTTTACAAATATACCGCACAGCGACGCGGTGGCTCAGGAGATAGTTTTTAACACCCAATGAAGTGACCGAGACTCGAATCTCATCTGTGGCTGGTTCTTGTGAATTCTGCTCCCCACTCGCATCGAACAATGCATCGACGCATAATGTCCTCAGTGGTAGGCGGTTAATAAGGCTAAAATTTCGTTGCCATTTGGCTAACAGTGGGAAGCTTTAGTGGTTTTCCTCTCCATGTAACACAAATGAGGTTCCATCAAAAAGTCCTCCAAGAAGGCCAGTTTATTCATATACTTGATCTGGAATTTCTCTTGTCTTCTGAGTTGAGTTCCAAATTCGAAGGCTGCAGAATTGAATAGTGATAGTCTTAAACTCAAAATCGATTTGGTTGTTCAACGCTGGTTATAAAATAAAATAAAATATGACCCACAAATGAAATAAAAGCTTCAAAAAGCAGTGGATCATTGTTAGTTTAAAGCGTTATTGGAAATTGGTCAAATGCTAATCTTCGATAAATTACTTACTATCGCAGAACGTTTATGGGAATAATAGTTCGCCATCTCATTAGCTCCATAATAGTCGCTTCAGTGTAGGGCATGTCTGTGTGATCTTTCCAGCAAGGGGTACGGTTTCGGCCAATCACAGTTTCTATTTCTGCCACGACTTTCTCTTGAACATGTGGAAAAGACGCCATGGTCAGTGTAAGCCAATCCAATGTAAGACGTACTGTTTCACTCCCAGCTCCGAAAAAAGCTCCAACCATGTCTTGAAGTACAGGTTCTAGCATAAAGAAAATATTTATAGTACATGACTGAATAGTAAAAAAGTTTCACTGGAATAAGGCTAAAAACTGATACTTACAAGGTAAGTAAATACTGCTTTATTGTCATTTCTCGTATTAAAAAATATTTGTCGTCTCAGTGTTTCGTGTTTTATTTTCATTGGACAGAAAAATCACATGATATGATCCTCATTATACAAAGAATATCAAAATATCTTCTAGAGTTGTTTATTTATTCTTTATTTAAAGTTATTTACCGATAATATCAATTTATCATTCTTTCTTAATATTATTCTCTGTTATTGTTACGATTTTGGCATAATTATACAAAATTCGATATTTAAAGCTAAAAATGATGTTTCTTAAGTTAAAAGTAATCGCAGGGTATTAAATTATCAAGTAACACAATACTGTTATTTACTTACCATTTTACAGTTATTTTTACTTACCATTTTTTAGTTATTGTTATTTTTATAATAATTTGTTATATCATCTTTTACAGGAAATTTAAAATGAAACTATATTCAGTCAGCATTTGAAATAAAATAATTGATACAAAAAATGCTATTAAAAGCTCTAAACACTAAGAACTAACTTTATCTTACCCTAGAATTGAATANATAACGGATTTACATAAATAAAAATGTTAAAATTCGGGTGTTTTAACTTCTCCCGAATCGATTTCAAATTTCTGTGCAACTTTGAAATTAGCAGATTGTAAAGCAGAATAATGATCTAATCCTAGTTTTAAAAATGAGAAAACTATTCTACCTAATCATTGACTTTGTAATAAAATAGTGTAAGTTTATTTTATAGTTTTCGACAATTTTCCAGGCAGTAACATTTGCAATACATTATTCTAATTATTTCGCTTATAAGGTTTATTTAAAGTTAGTAATCCACTGATATTAATTAAGAAATTCATCCTGCATAATAATAATGGAACAGGAAGAAATGGATATAAAAAGGAAAGAAAGAAATATTTACAGTAAATATTTACAGTATTTGAAAAAAGAAAGAACAAAAATATTTACCGTAAATATGACAAAGGATACATAATCGTGTTACTCATTTTTTTCTTAAAGAATGTTTCCGAAGTTTAACATTGGCACAAAAAGTTATTAAAAATATATATCATTAAAAATGATTTTTATGATAAAAAATTTATTTTTTAATAATTGTTCACAATTTGATTTAAAGTCCATCTTCATGTTATTTTAACTTCGTCACTCGAGAACTTGTAACATAAAGTTTAGGTGGGGCTTCCTTAGTTTAAATATCAATTAGCTTTTATTTTCAAAGCAACCATTAGTGAGTAATAAAGAAAATCTCACCTACGAAAATTACCTACGTAATAAAGAAAATCTCACTTACTGCAAAAAGCTTTGTCATTTCTTTTTCGTATTTCTAATAAGTAGCCATCAATGTAATCTCTTATATTGTTTTCATCCAAAGTTTGCTCATGTTGATCAATTTGTTTCCTTGAAAAAAAAATTTTTTTTACATAAAATGCTTTAGTAGTAAAATACTAAATATTAAACGTATTAAAATAAATCAAAACTTTTATTTATTTTATAAATCCAAAAAAAATTATTATTATCTCTTTTTTAAACACATTAACATAACGAAAACCTTTTAAGTATCGTGTTCGTTGTCTAATTTTTATCTTTACGAACATAACATCATTTATTAATGTATCCATTGAGTAAAAATTAAAATCTTTTGTTCTTCATGCTGAATTTTGAGAAAACAAGTCTTAAATTTTGTGATGGCCTATATGGCAACATTCTGTATATTTTCAGATTTATAACTTTCAATTTATACTTAAAAAAAGTACATTTTTAAAAATATTTGTAGGTATTTTTCTTATTGCATAATCATACTTAATTTTATTAATAAATTGAAACCTCACTATGAAACCTAACCCTAGCAACTTTGATAAATGAAAATAAGTTATAAACTGTATATAATTTATTCAACTTACTTTTATAATAAATGTCGCATTTGTATACGAACATAATTACTATTGTTATTTATAAGGGAGCTAATATTATTTATATTTTGATATAACTTCTGAAAATTAGGTCAAGGTTAGACCCTAATAGCGTGCAAACATCCTACAATCTTAATAAAGTGCTACTTTTACAGAAAAGTTTGATTAAAATTGAATCTTAACATATACAGCATGAAAATAAAGATTAAAGATTTGATTATTGCATTTTATTTTACCCAATTTTAGAAAAAAAATTGCTAATATTGAAGCAAAATTGAAGAACGGTTTGCTTTGTTATGCAGCAATATTTTTTAAAGTGACTTAATAATAGTAAATATTTTTATTTTTTGCTATATTATTTGAGAGCTGTCAGAAAAATTTTGAATCGTAAGGTATACAATTTTTTCACCATTTTAAAGATTGTAATTATGCAAGGCAAAATGCAAAATTTGAGCGAAATCGGTTGTATAATTCCTAGGAAATCAAATTTTAAAGAGACTGTGTTTCTAAAATTTGATTTACCGGGAACTATAAGACCGATTCCACTCAAATTTTGTATTTTGTTAAGTAAAATTGCATTCTTTAAAATAATGTAAAGAATTGCATACCTTACAATTCAAAAATTTTGACCATTTTAAAATAAAATAATAAATTCTTTCCAAAAGTGATATTTTGCCTAGAATTATCTTTGGATATATGAATTTAATAATTAAGCACAAGCATTTTGAATTCACTTAAAAAGTTCTCAAAATATGGCGAAATCCGCAAAAAATAAAATTAACAGTAAGAGATCCAAACTTTAGACCGCTCTCCTAACCAAACTATGGAAACAATACTTCCCAGATTGCGGCTACCCTCTCAATTTAGGGGGTCAGGAGTCTCAATCCATCGAAAAAAGGTATATTTATTTAGAGAAAGTATGTTTTGTGTCTGATTTCCTAACTTAAAATATCCTCTGTTCCAATTTATTAGCATATTTCAGGTCATCCCCTCGAACCTTTAAGATTGAGTCCTAGAACGTGAAGATCCGATCATTAGAACAAAAGTTAATTCTGGGTTGTCCGTTTTTTTATACATTACCTAAACGCCAAACATGAAGGAAAGCCTAACAAGAATAACTCCAATCTCCGGTAAAATTTCCTCATTTTTATAGTTTTGAAAACATGCTAGTTGCAAATAGTGATAAAGTTCGCTCTTTTTCAATCATGCGAATTGACAATTTACGGTTTCAAAGCCGTAAATGTAAAAAAAAAAATCCTATCCGTAAAGTTTATTTCTAATTGGATGGACAGACTATTGGATGGATTATTTATTGCTGCTTCAAAACGAAAAATCTAGAAGTGAATATCATATTTTTAAGTTTCGTAATTAATTAAGATTAAATACTAATACATCTAAGTAATATATGCTCTTACATGATATAATCTCTTGTTTCTTTTTGAGTTTTAGCAATTTTAGCAGCTCCACTGAAGCCGAACAATTTTACAACGCTGGCTAGGAATGGAAAAAATAGTTCCCATGCAACTTGTCCAGCAGCTGCAGCTGATTCACTTAAACCCTTATCCAGCATTCGACGCACTGGATGATCATAATTTAGCCTTTCTCCGAAAACAAGCGTGGCTATGTTATTAGACATGCTAGGAGCTAAATGAGGCTTAAGAACAATTGGCTTTCCTCCAAACTCTTCCAAATGTTCTAACAAATCATGAATTTCTTCCTAGAAAAAGTAAGGGAGAAATAAGATAATAATATGAAATGAATTTTAAAAAAATATGTAATTTATTACCTATATTTAAAAAAAAAAATTCTATGAAAAAAGTTAAATATTAATTTCATGTTTACTTTACAATATTATTTTAACCTCTACAAATAATTACTTATTTATCCCTCTGAATTGCGATTTCTCGCATTATGATGGAAGCTGTTAGCAAATATTCCTGAGACAATGAGAAAATATCATATTGTAATAGAAAACATATGTATTTTGAAGTATTTACATTCTATACAAATGTATTTGCATTCTATATATATCCGACTCTTGAGGGGGTTAATTTTACCCTGTAGACAAAAGAGAAAAGTTACAGAGAAAAAAATCCTATTAATATTTTCCAGTATTATTTAACAATATAACTCATTTAGATTAATCAGTAGCTAAACGAAATAGATATCAATTTTTCAGAAAATCTCATGTGATATTATGAAAAAAACATTGATTTTAAAGATATAAACTCCATATTAATAATAAAAAGCTTATAAAAAATTGTCAATGGTACAATTTTTTCCTACTATTTTCCTTTTATTCCCAGTTAGCTGTAGGGAAAGGCATTTTACAAGCAAAAGTTTTTTTAAGAGGGTTTAATGCTCTTGAATTTTAAGGTGTTTCATTGTGCATTGCGTATATAAGGCATAAAACTGGAAAAGTTTCTACAGACATTGTTAAATGTTTATTATGACGGAAATGTGAGTTATAAAAAGCACATGACATTTTATATCTTACTATGACTTACTTATTAGATCTAATTTTGAGATCAACCGTTAAAGATTATACATTTTAAATGCTTGTTAAATCGTACAGAAAGATGCCCGATAAAGATCTTACTTTTAAATGCTTCTTAGATCTCGCTTTCATATACCATAACACTTAGTACCTGCATTAGTGTACTTGGCACATATTTAAACTGCGCCAAATATCAGTAGTGATTACCAAAATTAATTAAGCATTATTGGCGGCAGTAAATGTATGGCGAATTTTCTACTAAAATAATTAGTACCATTTCTTCATTAATTTTGCTATTTTGTAGATAGCTTTTTTTATTTAAATTGCTGCCAAATTACAAAGCATCATTTTTCTTGAAAAATAATATTACGATTTTTAACTTTCCTTCTAAAAGAATATGTACCTTTTCTCCATGAATTTCGCTTTTTAATACATAACTTTTTTTTTCGATTAGTACCTATTACAAAAAATTAATTACACCATTGGTATCAATAATATAGAGACAATTTTGTACGTTTCTCCTAAACAAAATAGTATCATTTCTCCATCAATTTCACTTTTTAGTATGTAGCTTACTTTTTCAATTCAATCAGTACGTATTACTAAAATTATTTGACCATCACTGACGCCAATAATAGAAAGGCGATTTTCATACATTACTTATTTTTTTCACTTCTTTTCGTTGATTTTAGTTTATTTAGTTTTATAGAAACATGTTTTAAAGGCATAACTATAAACAAAACAGACACGTGGTTTGGAATAACTTGTTACACTATCATGCCGCACAATTTGCCTATGCTACCAAGTTCAAATTTATCACTTAGTTAATCTGTTACAACGAATAAAAAGTAATTAAATATTAAAGAACGATCAATAAATTTCTTTTGATCAAATAGAGCTATAAGCTAGCAAACACCCCTAATATTATCTTCAAAATGTTTGTTCGGTAGAATCGGTTGAAAAATGGAATTTCATCTTTGCTTGAGTGTTAACCATCGTTTTAAATTAATGTAAAGATTCTATTTTTTTTTCAAACTACTTATTAGTTTCGAACAAATTTTAGGTTTGGGGTCTAAATTTACCCCCTGCAGCAACTGTCTAAATTTCAGGTACAGACGGTTCTTTGGTTATAAGAAAAACACAAAGGTGCAAAACTTTCATTTTATTATTCTAGATTATATCTTAACTTTTAAATAATTATATCTTGCTTTGAAACAATCGTTAAATATCTTACTTTCAAGTGCTCTTCCATTCGGGTTTTTGCAAATCCGAGATCTCTGAGCATGTGAAGGGAGAATCTTCTTTGCTCTTTCCATGGTAATTCATTGAAAGCACCGGTTTCTAATGAAAGATTAAAAGTGTTTGGTTATAAAAAAATCATTTAAGGGACAATTTGTAACACTCTAATGAACTTATTTTAATAGTAACTCAAAAAAAGAGAGAAAAAAAAGAGAACGATCAGAAGAAAAGTTATGTTTGTATTTTAATCCATCTCAGAGCACTAATTGCTAATTTAGAACTATAGATAGTCGAAAAGAAACCAAAATTTTGACTACAATACTTTCCTCTCATAAATGTGAAAATAAATTCAATACTATTATAATTAAAACTGGATGCGTGGAACGAGACAAAATTTGACAATAAAACTGTAAATTAATTATATCCTTTTCCAATAACACTTTCAATTACAGTACTAACTTTCAATTACAATAAAGGTAGGACTTTTAGAAGAAAAATATAAGTTGCTTTCTAATTACTTTTCATTTGCTGAAAGAAGATGATAACAAATTATTATTGATGATAGTAATTTTAGTTACCTAAAGTTTCTTTGCTGAGGTCAAAAGGATTGGCAGGTGGTCTTCCCATAAATGCATCTTGAAAAAAAGCAGCTTTAGTAGCTTGATAGTCACTTAAAACTATAGTGTTTTGAGTACCTAAACGCAATCTGCAAAAACAAATGTTTACTCAAAAATATGAAAAAAGGCCAACAAATGAAGAAGAAGAAAAAACTGATCTAACTTATATTTATTCGATCTCCGAATAGAAACATGGAATAAATTACTAAAAATCATCCAAGCTACTGTCTAATCAATCAGTAATGATGGTTTAGATCAGAATTTCTTAAACCTGTGGGTTCCGACCTTTAAAAGGGATCGCCAAAATTTTAAGCAATTTTAATATTCTTCAATTTATTACATTAGCTTTGAAATTACCAAATAATTTTACACAATGTATTTTAAATTAGATAAAGATAAAAACAAATAAAATAAAAAGTTTCGATGCATTTTTATTATTTTATTATATTTTCAAGTTTGCTACGTATCTAAAATTTTCACATTGTCTTATGTCTTAAAGTTAATCACTTCAAACTAACAGTTACACGCGTTTGCCGAATTTGTGAAATGCTTATTGGACCGCACAAAATTTTTGAAAATATTATAGGGTCCCCACACCAGAAAAATATAATACCCCTGCTTTTCGGTCATAGGTTTCCAAAATGAGAGCTACAGCTCCCCGATAGGCGAAGCCCACTTTTAGAAGAGAGCTAGCAAGACTATGGATATTCGAGGAGTGTTAGGAATTACTAAAAAATTATTAAATTCATTAATTTTTCAGTTTGTAATCGAAGAATAATTTACAATTCTAACTTGTCATATAATATATGTTTCAAAAGCAACCATGCCATTAAAATTATTTTTATTTATTTCGCATTTTTTTTTTAGCTAATTTTATGATTTTAATTAATTTTGGTCAAAAAATGTGGTTATATCCCGAATTGTTAGCGTTCTTTTCAAAACTATTCTGCATATACGCTAGCCATTGATTCGACTAGAAAACCAAATGCCGGGTCTAACTTTGCGGTGTAAGCCGTACTTCAAAAGATCGTGCTTTATAATAATACATTAATTTTATAATTAATTAGTTTTATAATTAATTGATTTTATAATTTATTAGCTTTATAATCAATTAATTTTATTAGCAATTTAGTACCGTTAATTTAGAATAAAAATAAATGGTATTTCTTTTTTAACATTCACCCTTTCCTTTCATTTCATTTCATGGAATAAATTTAAATATTTTTAATTTAATCTTTAATAAAACTAGCCCTAGGAATATTTAATTTTGATCGAGCAGTTAAAGACGGACAAATTGATATTCAGTAAGTTTCAAAACATAAACGTGAATATCATCTTTAAGGGAACTATCAGTGAGCGCGGGATAAGAAAATAATACTAAAAAAAATTAACCTTTTTTGCAGGATACATGACCCTTCGTAACGTCAATAAGAATTTTAATTTTACTGAACTAATAGTTTTAAAAATAGAACACTTGCCTGAAAACGCTGCCATATTTTTTCGCTAATTTCTGCAAGTCCAAATACGGGCTAGAGCTCATGAATGGGATGTAACCAACGAAAGGTAATCCATAAGGACCCGGAGGCAATTTGCGAACATCCCGTCCAGCAATCAAATAAATAATAAAAGCAATTAAGCACGTAAATAGTAAAGCTGTTGTCAACTCCATCATTACTCCACAACTTTGAATACTTATGAAATTTCGAAAATAAGAGAACTTAAATAGGCAGTTTCAGGAAACAGATAACTTGCCAAAATGATATCATAGAAGAAAATAATCAGAACTCCCATTTTAAAATGATAGCTACGAGGAAATTTCTTTAAAAAGGAAATTATTTTACTAGATGCGAAGGTCAGTTACATAAATATGTTTCTAATCGGAGCTTATCAATTCGAAACACTTTATACTTAGTGACAAACATTTCCGTGTTTTATGAAATTCATTTATATAATTAACCAGGCAGAAAAACAATCTTCTTTTATAATCATACAAAAAATATAGCTGATAGTTATTTTTTTCTTCTTTATCCTAACACGATATAAATAAATACCATTTATAAATGCATTTTAAAGTATATAATTTATCTAACACGTTTTTGTCATCTGCATCTTATATAATCTGTGTATCTTATGCATGAGATCTATCAATATGAATTTGTAGTTCAAAATTCGGAAATTGCTCCGAGATGATAAAATTGGTTGCAACTTTTTATTATGTACAATCAGATATGTAAATGAAGTTACGAGTGTGTGCATTAAACACTATCTAATCCAAATATGCAGTTTCGATATAATAACGTGTTTTTCCAAATACATTTACGATTGAAAAAACTGAAAATACTAAAAGCAATATTTGTGTAAATTATTGAAATCAGGGATTTTAATTTAAGAATGTGTGAAATATTTCATTTAAGGCTAGTCAGATTTTGATACGAATCAAACTGTTGCAAATAAAAGTAAATAAATCGAAATTATAGCTTGAAAGAAAAGATAATAGGCTAACATGTGATAAATGCTGCTGTTATGGGCAATATAAATGCGCTAAAATGCAAACACCCATCAAGCTATTAAGATCGAGTCTCTAAACGTCAATGCCAATACCCGATCATTAAACCAAAAAATTATTCAGGATAAACCGCTTTTTTTTTAAGCATTGTATGTGTGGGAGCGTGTATATTTTACAAGTTCGAAATTTTGAACTGATCCTCATCCCCACTTTTTCACGCACTACATCTCGAAGAAAGAATTTTCCGTAGAATTTGATGAATATTTTATAAAATGAGTAATATGCTAGTTTCAGCCATAAAAAAATTATGAATCTGTTTCACCGAACGTTTTATAAATGATTTAACTTTTCGTATGTTAGATTATCACTGGTTAAATTAACGTAAATAATTTCCCACTGTATGGTGATAACGTCACCGAATTCCTATTTTAAAAGGTATATGAAACCACGTGTTTATAATATTGATATGTACGCTTTTTAAACGTATATCCATCATCTTAAATAGTGGAAACTCAACAACAACTAGTTAAATAAATTTGAAGTTATCTCTTAAAGTATGGAAAATTTATGGTAAAATTTGAATATCATATTTTAAATTATACTATATAGTTAACCTATGTTCCGATGAGATGAACTTCTAACTTATATTATGGTAAATCTAAAAGTATGAAGCCTCCCTTGAATGAACAATAAAAATAATAAAAATATAAACGCTGTATATTAAATAGCATGAATGCGTAGTATGGTGATATTAAAGAACTTACAGAAAAAGGTAGAAAACCTATTACCCCAGTACCTATATTAGGCATACATATATAGGTATAATTAGTTCTCAATACGAATACCAGTAGTATTTATTATCACATTTAATTGAAAACACTGGTGTCAATAATAATTGAATTAGTTACAATCTTCCAAATAAGTACTAATATTAGTTCGTTCACCAAAAATGATCATAAAAACATTAGTGGCGTTAATTAGTTGTTTTCGAGAATTATCATTAACTAATTTATGGTATTATTGATTTAGATAATAAGTACAAAATGAAATAAAAAGTTATTTTATATTAAAAAGTTAAGCTAATTAATAAAAGGTACTTATTCACGTAGGAAAACCATAAAAAAATATCTTATTATTATTGATGCCAATGACGTTTAGTTAAATTCAGCAATAGGTTATGTTTCAATATGCACTAAATATAATAATATCAGTACCAAGATATCTACTATAGGTACAGTGGAAATAAGTTTTTACGGCCCACCTAAAAGGAAAGGTATCGGAGAAAAAAAAATTTTTATTGTATTTTTTCAACTATCAAGCCTTCCCAACAACCTTCCACGCCTTCCATCAACAATAGCATTATACCAAATGTGGGAGAATGAATTTCTAAAAACATTTTTTGCTTAGTCTAAAGGCATAAATCCACCAGGAAGGTAACAAATAATAAAAAAATGGAAATGGAAAGTTAGATTAATTGTGTCAGTATATGTCTTTCAGTTTTGTGCCTTACTTCATTGTGTGAATTAATACCGATTTAATGAATGTTTACTTTTTTTGCCCTGTACTAAGAGCAGGTATTCAATAGAAATTAGTTCGGGCTCGCTTATGTAGGTCCGAGCTTGCCCGAGTTCAAAGAATTTTAATCCAAGCCCACCCAAGCCGGAGATGCATAGAATTCTTTAGAGCCCCGAGTCCTCCCGAGATATATGCCGGATAAAAACCGAATTTTGCGGAATAGCTATTAGGTATTTTACGCCTAAACAATAAAATTAGACATTAAAACCTTTTTATCACAATTAATAAATAAATTTTACATTTTTTATTCTTAATAACTGTACTAAATGTTTGCTTAAAAGCAGTAAAAAGTTTATGAAAACTTTGTCAAATTTTTGTTGAGGAAACCATTAAACTTCTGAACTCTTTTACTAATGGGTTAAATTTAGCCATGTTTTCGGGTAACCAAATTTAAGAAGGATTAATTAATTGGTAACGATATGATATTTTACTACTAAAATTGCATAAATTTGAATTTAGAATATATGTAACTCAATGAAAATGCCAAAAAAAAAGAAAACACCGAACTTAGTAAAATGAAAAATATTTTTAATTGAGGAAGATGAAAATGGATGAAGTAAAATAATATATGAAAAAATTAAAACACTGTTTCACACAAAAACAATCTTCAAGTGCTCAAGTATAACTATACTGTCAATTCCGCTTGGTCAAACACAATTCATGTGGCTTTGGACTAAGACCAATCCCTAAAACTCCATCAAAATCTGGCTTTGTTCCAGGCGATAAAGAGATCTTAAATTTCTGTAGAATTGAAACAAAATACAAGAAAACTTCAATTTTTGCAAAAGATTCCCCTGGGCATTGCCGTTTCCCTGAAAATAAATAAATATTAATATACATATATAAATATTAATATACATAAATATCTACTAATATGCATAATAAATAATACACGTATATTACTTAACTTACACTAATAATTCATGCTTCTTAGTAAATGAAAGGTATACTTTCTTTGCATAATTCAGCATATAGTATCATCTCTTTTATAAATTCCACATTTTTAACTCATAAAATGAATTTAATTCGCAAATAAATTACGTGTAGAAAAGTGTAATTCATGTTTTTTATAAAAAATCATAATGTTTTTTATAGTAAAGATTATATTCGAAATTATTTACCCGATTTAACTTAAGTTCGGAATTTGGTACTTAAAATTATCTTAACAATGTGGTAATTTTTATTTATTTATCCTTAGATCTTACTATTAAGAAATCTTTAAGTCATTAATTAATAAATAATTATTAAAAGCTTTTTTTAAATGAAATTATCTTTACGCAAATGAATTTTATCATCCTATACAATTCACCATTCATATTATCCATTACAATTCATTTCTGCAACTAGATTTAGAGAATTATAACTTTTATCAGGCTTATTATGTGTGAATAGGTAAATTAAAAGTAAAACTTCATTTTTTAAATTTTTTTGAATTTTTGCTGATTTTAGAACTGTTTTGAAATCGAAATACGATTCAGTTTAAGGTGATATGAAATTGTAGCAACAAGGAAATTTTTTCCTACTTTTTTTTCATGCTATCCTTCAAAATTCTGTTGGTTACATAAAATAAAGCTTTTTTAGCAAATAATATGCAATTTTTATAACTATTGAGACAGTTCATAACATTTTTGCTAAGTTTAGTTAATCTCCATTCAGAGCCTTTCACTGCTTTTTATGAAGTAGGCGCATATTCTCATCATGAAGATTATATTATATGGCGCATATTCTCATATTCTCATCATGAAGTAGGCGCATATTCTCATCATATTCTCATCATATTCTCATCATCATTTTTTAAAAATGAAAACGAAAGCAACGTTGCTTTAAAGTTTAAACAAACGTGAGTTCGAATTCAAGAGTATCGTACTCATCTTCCAGTAGACGGAAGACTGTGCCACGTCTTTTCATCTTCTTCTTTCACTTTTAATGCAGGAAAAACGTAACCGTAAAATGGTAAATAAGGATTTTTTTTTTCTTTTTGCAGGATATCTAATGGATGTTTTAGAGCTTTACTTACCAATTGAAAATGGAATGAAATATTCCGATTTTTTCACTTGTTTCCCGTCATCCGTTAGGAATCTCTCAACACGAAATTCTTCTGCATCTTTTCCCCAATATTCAGGGTTGTGATGAATATCCCACAAGTTGGCGATCACGAAACTTTCTTTGGGAATAAAGTAACCATTCAGTTCTGTATCCGCCAAAGTACTGAAAAAGGAATAAATTAGATTATTTTTCTCAATTTTAAAAAAGCGAAAACTATAACTGTCGAATTTGACTTTTAAAGAGAAGGTTAATTCTTTTTTCTCACTCTATAAATTGCATAAAAAAATTGTAGGAACATGAGTTGCGATAAAAAAAATATTCGTAAGAAATTGAGATTAACTGCGATCATAATGTATTTTAATTTTTAATGATTATAAGAAAAATTCTCAATTGCGATATTTACTTTGACTTAGTTTCTCTTTGCCGTACAATTTTGAAACTCATTCATAATTATTTTTGTTTTAATATTTTACCTTCCAATATAAATACGCATTGTTGTACAACTTAAAGCATGTGAGACATACTATTTACATTTTGATGTGAGATATAAATACGCATTGTGGTACAACTTAAAGCTTGTGAGACATATTTACATTTTGATGTGAGACATTTAGATTTAAGGAATAAACTCTCAATAATCAATCTCAATTTTAAGAATCAAAATATTTTTAAGATATTTTTTTAGACTCAGAACTTTAAATGTCTTC